CTCGCATTGAAGCTTGGTCAAGTGGGCCGCGATCTTCGAATAGCCCTTGATGAAGCGCTGATAGTAGCCGGCAAGACCAAGAAACGAATGGACATTCGTGACGTTACGCAGCTCCGGCCACTCCTGGATGGCTTGAATTTTCTCCGATAGCGGGCTGATGCCCTCTGGTGTGACAAAATGGCCCAAGTACTCAAGCTCTTGCCGGACAAATTCGCACTTGTCGCGGTTGGCTTGGTACTTGGCACGACGGAGCGTCTCCAACACACGTCGAAGATGCTCAAGATGGTCCTCCAGAGTCCGGCTGTAGACGAGAATGTCGTCTAGGTAGACCAGCACGAACCGATCCAACATACACGGAACTCGTGGGTCATGGCCGCCTGGAAGGTTGCCGGGGCATTGGTGAGGCCAAAAGGTATGACCACCCACTCAAAATGCCCATACCGCGTCTTGAATGCGGTCTTGTAGCAATCATTCGGGCGTATCGAAATCTGATGATACCCCGACTTCAAGTCCAACTTGGAAAAGAACTTAGCACCGCCCAGTCGCTCAAGAAGATCGTCGATACGAGGAAGAGGCCCCGCATTTTTCACAGTTTGCGCGTTGAGCTTGCGGTAGTCGATGCACAGACGTAGATCCTTGTTCTTCTTCCTTACGAAGAAAACTGGTGCTCCATATGGGGAGCTGCTAGGGCGGATCCAGCCCTTGGCCAACAAGTCGTCGAGTTGTGCGCGAAGGACCTCCAGTTCCTCCTCGCTCATCCGATAGATGCAACCTTTCGGCGGCACGGCACCGGCCTCAAGAATGATCTCGTGAGAGATCGGCCGATCCGGCACCACACCGGTAGGTGACTCGAAGATGTCGGCGAACTCATCAAGCAGCCGTACCATGCGGAGGTCCGAAGACAAGTCCGATGGTGAAGAGTCGGCTACTGCGCTAGTCCGCAAGAAACATAGGCCTATCTCTTCGGGTTGCTCATATGCACATGTAGTTCGGAACGATTTGGCCGTCACGACTTGGCACCGGATCGAAGGGTGAGGAAGAGGAATAGTACACGGCACCTCGGCGCCGAAGGCGTCGCGAACGGTGAGAGTCCGCTGGTGAAAGTTGACCGTGTGATCCGCACTTGCAAGCCAAGGCATTCCCAGAATGATATCGAAGTCCGTGTCCAAGATGTCGAACATGACCGGTTCGTATGCATGAGGTGCGAAGTACACCGGTACGGCCTCGATGTAACGGTCGAGWAGTTGCTGCGTCTTTCCATCCGTCAACTTGATCGCCGTCGGGTTTGCCTTCCTCCGAACCTGCGCGCCGAGGCTAGCCCTTTGCATAAAAGCTTGGCTCATGAAGTTGCGAGTCGCGCCGCTATCCAGCAAAGCGCTGCAGGACGCCTGCCCAACTTGGATGCGGACATACATCAGCGGTGCATTATTGTCGTCGTACCGCTGCGTGCGAAACTCGCGGGCCACCTTGGTAACATATGCCAAGATGTCCCCCACCGCGACCTCGTCATCCGTCGGCGAAGTTGGTGGTGCATAGAAGGACAAATACTTGTGAAGATGGGCACAGAGTGTTGCGCATTGCGGTCCCGGTAAGCGGCCCGTGGTCGGGAGAGGAAGCCATGCGAAATCCCCAAACTTGAGCGGGTCCAATTCCTCTATGTTGAACCCGCACGCCGAATCCCGTGAAGAACCACTTGAAGACGAAGAAGAACCATTGTCGGACGGAGAAGATGCCGCACACACGTCTTGTCCTTGAGCAAAAGATCCCAGCGCCGGAACGAGCCGGGCAGCATAGTCCTCAAAAGAATAGAGAAGAGGACTGTTGACTTCCGCATGCGCCCCGGAATGAAGGCCGGTCACTCGCGAAGAAACCGATTCCGAGGGCGTCCAGAGTGTCGTCGACTCACTCTCGGCGGCGCTCAGTTTCCCTGCTTGCCCTTCCCCTTGGTAGGGCACCCCGCTATCCCGTGGCAGTCGTTGTTGCACCACAGGCAGTAACGGTACTTCGTGCGTTGCTTGTAAGCTTGCTCCGAAAGACCGTAGGGGGTCCAGGGCCCCTGAGCTGCTGCGCCGGACCCGGGGTTTGATGTGGTGTTTGTCTTCGATTTGCCGCGTCCTCGGCCTCGGCCGGGGCGGCCACCATCCTGGGCAGCTGCGAGTCCGTCTCTTTCATTGGCAGACTCCGCCTCGCTAGATTGGCTGCTTGGCGATGCCGCCGCAACCACGGCCACCTTGGGTCGATGCTGATCCTTACTCGGGCTTGCCGCAGCACGAGTGAGGTTCTTCGCCTCCTTGTTCGTGATGATAATCTGTGCGGCCTTGTCGAAAAGTTGCGCCATCGTTGTCAGTGAGTCCTCGACATGCGTCAAGGCGTTGCTCAACGTCGGGCACGACCTCGAAATGAAGTAGTGCTTGATGGCTTTGAAGCCCATCGGGAGACCTGGGACGGATGTCAAGCGTTGGTACTCGGCAATCCAGTCGACGCTTGGCAGCGAGCCTTGCTCGAAGGTCATGAGCTTGTCCATGGCCTTGATCTCCGGCGGCTCCACTTGGAACCGCTTGTGCCACGCCGCCTTGAGGTCTTCCCAACTGATCTTCGTGTGTAACTCGGCAGCGACCACCCCGTATTGGGACAAGAGATTGTCCAGCCATGCCTGGCATGCGCCTCCCGACCGGGAGTATAAGTACGCGTGGTGCTTGCACTCGCTGACGAGGTGCGGCTGCAACGTGAGTTCAAACTTGCGGAACCACTGAACTGGATCCGTCTTTGTTGAATCGCAGAAGATATCCTGACCGTCAAACTTGGGAGTTGACTCGCGCTGTCCCGAACTTGGGCTGGCGGCGGCAGCACAGACCCGCTGCTCTGATTGTTGAGTAGCGGTTTGTTGTAGTCGTGCGCCGTCCTTGAGTGTGCTGATGTCAGTCTCCAATGCGTCCAGGCGGTCTGATGTGTTGGAGGAGCTTGCCACAGGGGCGGCGGCTGGTCATTGCTCCAGCTGCTGTACGCGGCTGCGAACACTCTTGACTTCGACATCGAGGCTGTGAATGTCCTCCTGCTGCGCGATGCATGTCGCCAGGAGGTCCGTGAGATGGGAGAGGAGGAGGGCAATCTTGGTCTCGCTCTCCTCCATCTTCCCTGTCTCCGCCTCARTTCRCCATTCCGCTGCCAATGTGAGTAATGCTTGCTCCCCGCTGAAAATCTTCTCACGCCGCTTCAATCGTTCTTCATCTGCAGCCTTCGCTGCTGCCTCGGCCTGCAGACGCTGCTGTTCAAGAGCTAGCAGTCGTGCCTGCTCGGCATCCTCCGCCTTCTTCTTCTTTGCGGCTGCTACTGCATCCGCCCGCTGCTTGGCTTCTTTGATCAAAGCCAGCATGCGGTCCTGATATGCCTCCGCCGTTTCCCCCGGTTACTGGTCCATGACGGCTGTCTGCGAGCGCGTCAGCATAAACATGCCCGGGTGGCTGACGTGACACTCCCTGTTGACGTGGCCTGCTGATGTGGTCCGCTGATGTGGTCTGCTGACGTGGTCTGCTGACGTGGCCCGCTGACCTGGCAACTTACCAATGCCACCACAGGGAATACCCGGAATGGATGAAGAAGATGAGATTAGATATGGCAAACAATGATAGGGAGGGTGGGTGGGGTAGATCGCCCAGATAAGGAGCCGCTAATCAAAACAGAAAAGCTTGAACTTTGCAAAAAAAATTCTGAGGAGACGAAGAGAGAAAAAAAAAAATAAAAACTAAAAAATTGTTTGCAAGTTCAGTAAGCTCCCCCAATCCCCGAAGTACGAAATACAACTGAAAAAACAGTCGACTTCCAGACTGCAAATGATAAAAAAAAAAATTGGATTTGCTTTAATGAGAGTATGCGCAGCTTGGAAAGTAGTACTGCCAGAGAGATTTTCCGTACCGTTTTTAAAAAAAATGAACTTCGAAAAAAATATTCCGAATTTTTGAAGTACGGCAAACTGCAAAATCGAGATTTTCAAAAAGAGATATTCTGGATTTCCAACAACGAAATTTCCACAAGACAACATAAATTTTAGGAGTTGTGCTACTACGATTTTTCCACAATCAGAAATAACGGAAAAACGAAATCCAGAAAAAAAGAAAATTTTCGATTTTTGGCAGTTGGATGAAAATCGTGATTTTGGGGATTAACTAGTGTGCTCAACCAACCAATAAGTCAGTCGACTCTTCTTCACCAGCTAACTCCCCGTACACGTGTCAGATCAGGTAGTCCTGATTCATGTGCGGTGCTCCGGTACCAATTGTTACATGCCCAGTCGGGCACTGAGAGTTCAGCCAAGGATCCGCATTGTGATGAAAAGGACTGAATGGACAGTGGACTGCTAACGTAATATCAACAGACAATGTACATCCCGTTACATGAACAATGCCATTTAATAGCACAGCGGAAGACGTGGAGATAAGTCCTGATCTGACCTGGACTGTTACGACATCCCATCATACATCACACATGTGAGAGGGAGGGAAGGGACCGCATACGTAGACGAAGGTCCCTCCTGCATACATGCACATGGGGAGATACCACGGATGAGAGATGGAGGGGGGAAGGAAGGACGAAGATGGAGGCAAGGGAGAAGACTAAGATCGCAATAGCGAAGTTCAAAATAGTCCCTTGCCGAAGTCCAACCAAATGTCTGCCCAAAAAATTTCGAACCAGATCCTGGCCAATGCTCGTGACAACCCCTACCTGTAGCCCTGCAAGTAAACCACTCTCACTCTCGTAGGCTGCCGAAGCAGTGAAGTCAGATAGTGAGAGGGTAGGAGAGAGATGGTGGAMTGAGAGGAGGAAGAGGAAGAATTCTCTCTCTCTCTTCTGGATGCCAGGTACTAACCGGTGATGGTGGCRYTGYGCTGYAGGTACCTCGCTGGCGAGCTGGAGCTATGGCGCACCTCAGGTAAGTCACTCGGTGAGTGGCGCTCTGCTGCAGGTACCTSGAAGACRAAGCTGGAGCTATGGCGCCAYASGTAAGCATCCCTGGCCTCCGCCAGCCTCCTCTCTCCACTACTCTGGTCTACTGCTACTAGCGCCCAGCGCTGAAGACKAYTGYKAACGCTACTCTWCTACTGCAGCCGAATCCTGAAGACTACTGCCTCCTGTAGAAGTGCACGTTGAGTGYCTGGGCAGTCTCCTCTCGTCTGTCCCAACCTGTAGGGCGGGCCAGTCTTATATAGTGCTGGCCCGTCCAGGAGGCTGCTCTTGCCAATGCCTGCACGTGCTAGCCCTTGAGGAAGCTTCAGGGCAGGTCACTTCTGCCAATGCCCGAATGTGCTTGTATCAGGGYWGGTTGGTCTGAYGAGGKCCYRAGAATAGCCCTCAGTTTCAGGCTAAAAAGGCTCAGGCCTTTTTTTAGGCTGAAACGATGCAGGGCCTGTGGGCCCCGGATGTCAGGCTTTTGGGCTGAACCGTCATGGGGCCTGTAGGCCCGGAAATA